GGGATGCCGTTCTTCCCCAGCCTGTGCAGGCCTCATTCCTGTTTTGACGATAATTTCTCCCATTTTTAGGATAATTTATGCCATTTTTCTGAGGGATGAGGCAGGGAAAGAGGGATGGAAAAAGTGTCTCTCCAAGGATTGAAATGAATATTCCAGGAAAAAGCAGGAATTTTCAGGAAAAACCAGGAATTTTTTGCTCTCAGGGCTGTTATTTGGAGCTGTTACTCTCCAACCTGAGTAGGCCTCATCCCATTTTTGGGATAATTTCTCCCATTTTTAGGACAATTTGTCCCATTTTTCTGAGAGAAATCGATTTCATTTTATTTAATTTATTTAATTCCATTTTATTTCATTTAATTTTATTCTATTTCATTTTATTTCATTAATTTCAGTTTAATTCATTTATTCAATTCCATTTTATTCCATTTTATTCCATTTTATTCTATTTCATTCTATTTAATTTCATTTTATTTCATTAATTTGAGTTTAATTCATTTAATTCTATTTTATGCCATTTTATTCCATTTTATTCCATTTAATTTCATTTATTTCATTACACAATATTCCATTCCATTTAATTTTATTTCATTTTATTCTATTTTATTCCACTTAATTTCATTTTTAATCCCATTTTTCTCTATTTCAGGGTTTGCAGCGTTTCGGGCTGGGCAGAATTTTGGACATTTGGAAGCTGAGCCAACCCCCAGAGCGCAATTAATCTCAATTAATTAAAATCTAATTAGTGGCAGTGAAGTAAAATCTAATTGATTTTAAAGAACTTAAATTTAATTGATTTTCATGAATTTAAATCTAATTAATTTCAATGGATTTATTTAATTTTTATTTCATTCATAAAATTTATTTCATTTCCATTAATTTAAATTTCACTAATTTCACTGAATTAAAGTCTAATTAATTTCAATGAAGTAAAATCTAACTGATTTTAATTAAAACATAAGTAATTTTAATGCATTAAAATTTAAATAATTTCAATGACTTAAAATCTGATTGATTTCAATTAAGTAAAATTTAATTAATTTCAACGATTAAATTAATTTTAAATTAATTTTAAATTAATTAATTAAAATAAAATAAAAATTAATTAAATTAAATCAAATTAATTAAATTTAATTAATTAATTTAATTTAAATAATTAAATTTATTTAATTAGTTATAGTTAATTTAATTTAATTTTAAATTAAATTAAATTAAATTAAATTTTAAATTAAATTAAATTATTTTAAATTATATTTAATTAAATTAATTTTAAATTAAATTTTAAATTAATTAATTAAAATAAAATAAAAATTAATTAAATTAAATCAAATTAATTAAATTTAATTAATTAATTTAATTTAAATAATTAAATTTATTTAATTAGTTATAGTTAAATTATTTTTAAAATTAAATTAATTTTAATTAATTAAAATCCAACTGTTTTCAATGACTTTAAATTTGATTCATTTCACTGAATTAAAATCACGTTAATTTCAATGAATTAAAATCTAATTTATTTTAATGAAGTAAAATTTAATTCATATCAATGACTTAAATTAATTTCAATGAATTAAAATTTATTTATTTTTTAGTTGCAATGACTTTAATTCCAATTAATAAAAAATCTAATTAATTTCAATAATTAAAGTGTAATCAATTTCAGTGAAGTAAAATCTAATTGATTTCAATGAATTGAAATGTAATTGATTTCAAGGAATTGAAATCTAATTGATTTTGATGAATTAAAATTAAATAAATTAATAAATTCAAATTAATTAAAATCGAATTAAGGAAAATCAAATTCATTTCACTCTAATGAAGTAAAATGTAATACATTTCAATTAATTCAAAAAATCTAAATTATATTATTTAAATTAATTTAAATTTCCTTAATTTTACTGAATTAAAATCTAATTAATTGCAATGACACAGAATTTAATTAATGGCAACGACTTAAAATTTAATTTATTGTGCAATGACACAGAATTTAATTAATGGCAACGACTTAAAATTTAATTTATTGGAATGACTTAAAATCTAATTGCAATGACTTAAAATTTAATTAATTTCATTGAAATAAAATGCAATCAATTCCACTGAATTAAAATTCAATTTCAATGAAGTAAAATCCAATTAATTTTAAAGAATTCAATGAATTTCAATGCATTAAAATTGAATTAATTCCAATCCATTAAAATCTAATTAATTCTGATAAATTGAAATTAATTAATTCCAATTAATAAAAATCTAATTAATGAAAATCAAATTCATTTCACTCTAATGAAGTAAATGTAATATATTTCAACTAATTAAAAAAAATCTAAATTATTTTATTTAAATTAATTTAAATTTAATTAATTTCACTGAATTAAAATCTAATTAATTGCAACGACTTAAACTTTAATTAATTTCATTGAATAAAATGTAATTAATTCCACTGAATTAAAATTTAATTTCAATGAAGTGTAATCTAATTAATTTTAACGAATTAAATGAATTTCAACGCGTTAAAATAGAATTAATTCCAATCAATTAAAATCTTCTTAATTCCGAGAAATTAAAACTAATTAATTCCAATTAATTACTATGGAATTGATTAATTAAAGGAGTAACTACCCCTGGTCCCTGCAGCCAACCTGGAGATAGAGGATCCGTTCATCCGGCGCTGGGAGGCGTCGGGCGGCTTCCCGGCACTGCGGGAATTCGCCGCCTGCGTTCAGGACCGAGACCTGGAAGGGAAAATTTCCATCGTGGAAAAATACCGGGAACGGATCCCGGAGCTGCTGAGGAGGATCAAGGACAGCCACGTTTCCCAGGAATCCCTGGCAGGTGAATCCCGGGAAAATCCCGGATCGTGTCACGGGAGGGTGGAGTTGGGTTTGTTTAGGGAGAAAGGAGGTGGGATTTGGGATTTGGGATTTGGGATTGGGAATTGTCTGCTGTGGAGAGCTGGGAATGTTCTGGAATCCAGGGACAGCTTCCAGCACATTCCAGGGCCAGGAGGGGCTCCGGGAGAGCTGGAATTTGGGAAAGGCCTGAAGGGGCAGGACACAGGGAATGGCTCCAGATTGGAAAAGGGGAATTGGGGTGGGATTTGGGAAGGAATTCCCAGAGCAGCTGTGGCTGCCCCTGGATCCCGGGAATGGCCAAGGAAGGGTTGGAGCAGCCTGGGATGGTGGGATTGGAATGGGATGGGATTGAAGGTCCCTGGATCCCATCCCAAAGCATTCCGGGATTCTGGGATTTGGGAGGCTCCGAATCCATGCCGAGGGATTTTTCTGGGAAATGGGGATGGGAGAGAGAGGGAAAGGGAAGGGAGAGCCTTGGTGGCTTCCTGAGATTGCAAGGGAAGGCCCTGGGTCCATCAATTCCTTGGAGAGGAGATGGATCCAATGTCAGGCTCTGGAGCCAGGCTGGGAGAGCTGGGAATGTTCTCCTGGAGAAGGGAAGGATCCAGGGAGAGCTTCCAGCACATTCCAGGGCCTGGAGGGGCTCCGGGAGAGCTGGAATTTGGGAAAGGCCTGGAGGGGCAGGAGTCAGGGAATGGCTCCAGATTGGAAAAGGGGAGATTGGGGTGGGATTTGGGAATTCCCATAGAAGCTGTGGCTGCCCCAAATCCCAGGAATGTCAAAGTCCAGGCTGGATATTGGGGCTTGGAGCAGCCTGGGATGTGGAATCCCTGCCCATTTGGGATTCCTGTTGGAATTTGAGGAGACAAAATTCCTCAAATCCTGAGCATTCCCATTTGGAAATGTGGCTGGAATCTCCCTCAGTCCAAAATTCCCTTCATCCTCCCGGATTCCCCAGAGAGGAGCTTTGCTCCTGATGGGAATTCGGGAGAAGGGGAATGGATCCGGAAACAGAACCACGAAATTCCAGGATTGCTGCCAAGACCGATCCCTTTTCCCTTGGTTTTTCCCAGATTATCTCCTCGGGACCGTGCACCAAGCCAAGGGCCAGGAATTCGACAGCGTTTGGGTCGCGGATGATTTTGTGCAAATCTCGTCCATGGCTTTCCTGAGGAGAGCGAACGACGCTCTGGGTGAGGAACAGCGGGAAAAGGGAATGTGGGGAGCGGCTGGAGAGTGGGAATGGGGCTGGGAAAGGGCTGGAGAATTCCTGAGGGAGCTGGGAAGGGGCTGGAGAATTCCTGAGGGAGATGGGAAGGGGCTGGAGAATTCCTGAGGGAGATGGGAAGGGGCTCATCCCGGAGAAAAGGGGGATCAGGGGGAATTTCTGGCTCTGCACAACTCCCTGCCAGGAGGGGACAGCCAGCGGGGATTTGGGATCTTATCCCAGGGAACAGGGACAGGAGGAGGGGGAACGGCCTCAGGATGGGCCAGGGAATGTTTGGGTTGGGTTGGGTTGGATTTCAGGGAGAATTCCCACATGGAAAAGGTTGTGAAGTGTTGGAATGAGCTGCCCAGGGCTGGGAATGGTGGGATTCCATCTCTTGGAGAACTTTCCGAACCAAAAGAATTCCATGAGTCCCTGATTCCATCATGTCCAAACAGAATAAGGAAAACTCAAGTTCTTATTTTATTTTTTATTTATTTTATTTCATTTTATTTTATTTATTTTATTTTTATTTTTTATTGTTTTATTTTATATTTTATTTTATTTTATTTCATTTCATTCTCTTCTATTCTATTCTAATTTATTTTATATTACATTTTATTTTAATTTATTTCCTTTTATTTTATTTATCTTTATTTTTTCCTTATATTTTATTTTATTTTATTTTATTTTATTTTATTTTATTTTTCAAGCCCTCCCAATGATTTTTCCCATTAAAACAACTTCTCCCTCCTCCTTCACCTGCACAGCTTTTCCAACCCTAAGGATTCTCCCATTCCATAAATATTCCTGCCCAGGGAGGTTTGGAGTCGCCATCCCTGGAGGAATCCGAGGAATTCCTGGATGTGGCACAGCTTGGCCTTGGTGATCCTGGAATTCTTTCCCAACCTCAATAATTTGGGAATTCTCTGCTCATACCCCCATGAGAATTCCCAGCACATCCCAGGAATCCCCAGGAAAAGGGAACAGCCTCAGCCTTGCCTAGGGGAGGTTGGGATTGGATTTTTGGGATAATTTTTCCATGGAAAGGAGACTCCAGCCATCCCAAATCCCTCTAGGCTTCATTTTCCTCCTTCTCCTGCCAGGAGTGGGAATATCCCAGGGCTCCTCCTGGCTTTCCACGGAAACAGAACCTGAAAGAAAACTGGGATCACATTCCCACCCAAAACACCAGAGATTTATCCCAGATGGAACCCTGGGATTGTTGGGGTGGGAAGGAAGCTCCGAGCTCATTCCAGGGGCGCTGAATCCTTGGAAGGAGCACAGAGCTCCCAAAATCCATGGATTTCTCCTTCCCTTGCAGGCCAGGTCCCTGAGGACGAGTGGAACCTGCTCTACGTGGCCGTGACGAGAGCCAGGAAATGCCTGCTGATGTCCAAATCCCTGGAGAGCCTTTTAAGCCTGGCCAGAGTAAGCGGAACCAACTTCCCTTTCCCTTTCCCTTTCCCTTTCCCTTTCCCTTTCCCTTTCCCTTTCCCTTTCCCTCCTCTCATCTAAAAAAGTCACGGATCAACCTTCATCTCCCTCGGAGTGCTGATATTCCCATTTTCCTGTGTTTCCCAGGAACATTTCCTCCGGGTGGAGCTGCTGAGTGAGGCTCCCCCATCTCCCATCCCTTGTTGTGTATTGGAATGTACAAAATCCCTGGAATTCCGCTCCGGGCTGGTGGTGAAGAAGCTCCCGTTGAGTCGCGTACGTCACTTCCCTGGGATTTGGGATTTGGGATTTGGGAGCCTTCCCGAGCCATTCCAGTCCTGTTCTGAGCAGGGATCTCAGCTCCACATCCCTTTCCTTGTGCTCACAACCAGGGCTGAATTCCAAGGGAAATTCCAGCTCGTGTTGCGCTTCCCGTGGATCCTGAACGTCCCGAGGTGCTCAGATGGATCCAAGTCTGGATTCACTCCTGGAATCCACGGAATATCCATGTGGGATCGGCACAGCGCCCTGGCCCCAGTGACAATCCCAACTTTTGGGGCTGGGTTTGGGATGGATCCCACCTGGATCCTTGTCCAGAGGGTGCTGGAAAGGCCGAGTTCCGTAGGGAACACGAGGTCAATCCATGGAGCTCCACGTCCAGGACAAGAGGGAACAACCTCAGGCTGTGCCGTGGGAGGTTTAGGCTGGATTTTGGGAAAATTCCTTCATGGAATTTTCCAAGCATGGGAATGGGCTGCCCAAGGCAGGGGTGGAATTCCCATTCCTGGAGGGATTTCCGAGCCCAGTGGACCTGGGTGGCCTTGGCAGTGCTGGCAACGGTCGGACCCGATGTCCTTAAAGATCTTTTCCAGCCATTCCATGATTCCCTGTGGGAATTCCTTGCTTTGGACACATCCTGGCTCTTTTCCCTGGATCGGGGCAGAGCTTGGAAGCCGAGGTTTTGTTCCTTGCAGTTTCCTCTTCCCTGAAATCTCCTCCTTTCCTCCCGCAGAGCGACGGCAGCCGGGATCTGGGGGGATTCCTGTGCCAGGCTTGCACCCAGCAATTCTTTGGCTCCCTGGCTCCGCTCGTCTCGTTCCCAACGATCCAGGAAAAGCCCTGACAGAGCCTCCAGCTTCCCAGAGCCATCCTGGACCTGGGACAAATCCTCCTGGCACATCCCAGCTCCAAAATCAGACGTTGGAGATGGAAATCAGGATGTTGGAGCAGGATTTCAGCCAAATCCTCCAAATTCCAGGCAAATTTTGGAGCAGGATTTAAGCCCAGCTCCAAATTCCAGACAAATGTTGGAGCCAGATGTTCCCAACTCCAAATTCCAGGTGAAAGTTGGAGCAGGATGTTCCCAGCTCCACATTCCAGACAAATGTTGGAGCGGTATGTTCGCAGCTCCAAATTCCAGGTGAAAGTTGGAGCAGGATTTCAGCCCAGCTCCAAATTCCAGGTGAAAGTTGGAGCAGGATTCCTCTTGGCACATCCCAGCTCCAAAATCAGACGTTGGAGATGGAAATCAGGATGTTGGAGCAGGATTTCAACCAAATCCTCCAAATTCCAGGTGAAAGTTGGAGCAGGATGTTCCCAGCTCCACATTCCAGACAAATGTTGGAGCGGGACGTTCCCAGCTCCAGAGGAATTTCCAGGCTCCCTGGGGATGATGTGATTTCCTCCAGCCCTGCCTCATCCTCCAGGAGCTGGGAAGTGGAATATCCAGAGGATATTCCAGAGGATATTCCAGAGGATATCCAGAGGATATCCAGAGGATATTCCAGAGGATATTCCAGAGGATATCCAGAGGATATCTAGAGGATATTCCAGAGGATATTCCAGAGGATACTCCTGCACTTCAGGAATGGGATCCGACAGAACAAGGTTCATTTTGGAGCATTCCCTCTCTTCCCCCTGACACCAAACTTCCCAAATATCCCATCTTTCCCGGAATTCCCTGTGATCCAATGGAAAAAAGAGGAAGCACAATGCTGGAAAATATCCGAAGAATTATTTATTGGAAATGAACCCTTCCTGTCCAGCCACGGGAGGAAATCCTGAATCTCTCCCAGTGAATTCATCTTCCATCCTTGCAGCCAAGGGATTTCCCTGGATTCTTTCCCTCCTCCCTGCAGCCAAGCAGGAGGGAGGAGATAAGGCAGGAGCAGAAAAATTCGGGGACAAACTGGAGAGGGATTTCCAATCCTCAAATTAAATTTATAGCCAAAAAAACCACAAAAACCCTCAACACTTCCATTGTGTCTCTTCCCTGCCCTCAAATATCCTTTTATTTCCCGGATCACGCTCTCCGTGCCTGGAGGCCACAATTCCAGAGTCTGTGCCATGGGAAACCAAAACTGGAAGTGGTTTTGGATTCTGCCCTTGGCCACGGCCTGGAGCTGCCACAGGAATCCATCCTGGTTTTTATTCCATGGGATGGATTGGATTCCATGGAGCTGTTTCCTCTCCTCCCTCTCCTTCCACTTTGGAAGCCGATTCCGGGAATGCGTTCCCGGCGTGGGCAGGAATTCTCCCAAACTCTTGGATCTGGATGGGAGCACAAAGCCTGGAGTGGCTGTTGGATCATCCCAGGGCTCCCTTCCGGCCTCTCCCGAGATTCCTGGTTCCTTGGGAAGAGGGATGTGCCCCAGATCAGAGGCACAGACAGGACAAGAGCAGCCAGGAAAATCCATGGAATTCCAGCCGGTGCATCCCAAGCTTTTCGAGAACTCCTCTGTGCCATCACCTCCGGAGGTTGGGAATGAACCCTTCGATTCCGCGGTGTCCGATGGGAATGCAGCGGGATTCATCCCAATCCAATCCTTCCTAAGACATCCAGTTAAAAATCTGAGTGTATTTTCCATATAAAATACATTTATTTCTACCTAAAAATAGAGAGCTGCCTTTTCTGGAGTGTGAGGAAACAAGTTCCTGGATAAGGGAACAAGTGGATAAAAACTGCTGATGGATAAAGGGAAACACACAAAGGAAAATATTCCCTAAATTATTTGGTCGTCAATGGTGTCCGTGGAGACGCCGCTCCAGCTTGGATTCCGGGTGGGGATCAGGATCTGGAGCCGGGATCGGTGCTGGAAGTGCTTCCCAAGGATCCCTGAGCTGTGTGTGAGGGCGGGATGCTCCCAACACCTTTGGCTCAGTGCCTGGAAGAGAGCAGGAGAGGGATGAGGATGTGTGGAAATGCTCAGCTGGGTCTTTCCATCCAATTCCTGGGATTTGGGACAGAGCCGGGAAAGGGATGGGATCCAGCTAATCTGAGTCTATCCATGGACAGGGGATGGGAATTACCTGGGGCAGATTCATCCCAAATCCCATCCCAACATCCCAACCCTCTCCCTGCCCACCACCAGCATCCCCAGGGCCAATTCCCACAAATCCCAGCTCCCAGTGTAGGACATTCCCCCACCTTCGGAATCATCCGTGGGAACCATCCGCATTCAGCCGCGCGTCCCTGGCTGCTCTCAGAGAAGCGGCCGGAATTCCATCCTCCGGCATCCCTCGGGATGGGAACGCTCCGAGTGTCCCCGGGCCGGGTGCTCAGCCTGTGGGGACGACGACGGGAGGCTCCACCTCCTCATTCCCAGCGGGATGAGCTTCCATGGGAATATCCATCTCCGTCACCGCGTAGCCCTGCCCGGTGCACCTGCGGAGGGAAGAGGAGCATCGGTGCCATTCCAAGGTTTTCCTTTGGAAAGCACAGAAGCCTTGGAAATCTCATCCTTACTTCCTCCTCCAACAGCAGGCGGCCGCAATTCCGGTGGCCAGCAGCACCAGGAATCCTGCGGGATGGAGACAGGGAGTGAGGAACATCTCCCAACCCACAGCCGAAGAATTCCACCAAAATAGCTCCGGAAGGAGCCAAACCCACTCCGGGCACCATCACAAGGTGCTCTCCCCACCCCCAGAGAGAGAAAATTGGGAATTCTTCTTTCCAGGAAGGAATTTGGGTGCTGAATCCTTTCCCTCCCCCTCCCATTCCTGTTGGTCATGGAATAAAGCTCCCACAGCTCCCAAAAGGGATTTGAAACTTTAAAAAAGAATAAATAAGCCCCCGTTTCCCAAATAAACGATTTTTTTTCCCAACTTACCGATGGAAGAGCCCACGGACAGGATGGAAACTGGAAAAGAGGAGAGAAAAGGAAATTTTGAGCTGCAGAAGTAGGAAAGGGGTGGATTCTGGGAGGAGCCTCACTAAAAAAGGAGGTTGGAGAGAAGGAAAAATTCCATTGGAAAAGCAGAAGAGACTTTAGGGATCAAAGAAGCCCCGGGGGAGGTTTGGATTCCCTCGGGAATTGGCCCAACCTGTGGCGTGATCCGTGGGTGGGATGGGCAGCGGGGTTCTCCCCTCTCCCAGCGTGGATGTGTCCGGTGTTGGAATCGTCTCCGGCGGCCTGGATCCATCTGGCAGCACAGGGGACTGACTGGAAGCTGGAGAGGGGCTGGAATTTGGGCTGGGATTCAGGCTGGCATCGGTTCTTCCTGATGAGAAAACGATGGGAAATCATGAAATTCCCAAAATGGAAAAGCAGTTCCGTTATTTCCGCGCCCTCATCCGACAGCTGGGGTTTCAGGAGACGGCGCAAATCGGATCCCACCACGGGAATGTTGCGGTTTCCAAACCCCAGGCTCCAATCCCAATCCCAATCCCTTTCCTCACCCCTCTGGGTCGTGCTCTCCATGCTGGGGGTTTCCCAGGAATGAGCCGGATCTCCTTTGGGAAAACACAACAGGGAGACACCGTCAGCTGGGAAATGAAACTCCAACCGCTTTGCTGAGTCAGTCAAAATTATTTTACTTAATATTTTATTGGATATTTATTTTTTTATTATTTTATCCAGCATTGAGGTCTGGGGGAAATTCTACAAATTCTGGATGTTTGTTTTCAAATTTTAAACAATTTTATACATTTTAGCAAAAAAAGGAATTAATGCTCATTGGCTTCAAGTTCTTAATTACCATTCTATTGATGAATAATTGACCCTTTTTTAATTATCCTAATTAATTTTCAGCCTTTTAATTATGTTTTATGTTTAATTATGTTTTCCCAGACCTCTGCGTTATCCAAAGTCTTTTTCTGGTTTATAAATTCCACATTCCCGGTGTTCCATCCTCCACAATAAATTCCATTCCCAGGATTTAACTTCCTCCCCCAGCTCTGGGAGCACTGAAGGACATGAGGTCCTAAATTTTTGTTTTCCCACCCATCACCCGCGATCCGTTAGGAATTCCACGGATTCGACTCCGTAATTTTCCCTCCATTTCTGAATCTTTTGGAAGAAACAGAGCTTGGGTGGCGCTCGTGTTTCTACCCAAATTCCCGGACTTACGGATGCACTGGAGCGTGGGGTCGGTCCAGCGGGGCTCGGAGCCGTTCCAGAGGATGCACTGGATGAGGCTGGAGGTCCCGGCTTTCCGTTTGTATCCGGGATTGCAGGAGTAGCGCAGACGGGAATTCAGCTCCGTGCGATTCCCAGCCTCGATGTGAGCGTTGGCCACGGCTTTGGGGCGGCTGCATCGCGCTGGAATTGGAATGGGATGGGAAAAAAAAAAGATGGAATTACGAAAGATCAGACAACTTCTGGCTGTGCTGGGGAATTCCCCGCTCCTCATCCCTGGAATATCCAAGGACAAGGCTTGGAGCAGCCTGGGGTAGCAGGAGGTGTCCCTGCCATGGAAGGACACGGAATGAGCGATCCCTAAATTCCCTTCTGACCCAGAATTCCATAAAACCCTGCCTGGGGATGGATATAGGGAATCATCCATGCAGAAATAAAGGGATGTCCCTGATGCAGGGAAAATATTCCCAACATTTTTGGGATCGTTTATAGCAGCTCCTCCAGAGGCTGGACAAAGGGAAAAATCCACTTCCGGCATCTTTGTGGTGACGTGTGGCAGCTCCTCCAGCCAGCCAGGAATTTTTATGGAATTCCATCCCCTTTGCAGTGACTGTCCCAGGCCAGCAGCCGCTGAATTCCAGATGCTGAATTCCAGCTGTGCTCACCGCTCCCGCCCTCCTCCACTCATTTCACAGCTGGACATGAAAAATTCCAGGTGCTGCCGAGTCCTCCGGACACTTCCCAGGGTTCTTTTTTCCCCTCTGGCATGTGGAAGCTGAAATCCAAGTATCCCAGGCAGTGGGATGGGGATGGATTTTGTGGCTTTGCTTTTCCCCAGAGGAGCTCCCGCTTCCCCTTCAGCCTCGGGATGAGCTCGGTTCCGTACCAGCATGGTGAAAATTCCTGACTTTTCTGGTGCAATCGGGAAAACTCCGTGGTGCCAGCACCCGGATCCGTGTGGGAACGGCTTCTCTGTGATCCTGGCTGCTGGAAACTCCCGAATCCCAATGGGAGCCAGCACAGAGAGCTGGAGAGGGTTACAGTGGGAATAACAAAATACAGCTGAGATGGAGCGATGGATGGCCGGGATGGGATGGGATGGGATGGGATGGGAGCAGGGACAGGATGGAGCGATGGATATCTGGGATAGGATGGGATGGAAGGATGGATATATGGAATTTGGGATTGGATGGATGGATGGATGATGGATGGATGGATGGATGATGGATGGATGGATGGATGGATGATGGATGGATGGATGGATGGATGGATGGATGGATGGATGGATGGATGGATGGATGGATGATGGATGGATGGATGGATGGACGGATGGATGGATGGATGATGGATGGATGGATGGATGGATGGATGGATGATGGATGGGTTGATGCCTGGCATGGATGGAACCATGTCCAGCTGGGCTGGAGCAGTGTCCAGCCAGGAGGAACACACAGCTGGACTGGGATTGTTACGGAATAGAGATGGGAGAAATGGGAATGGGAATGGGAATGGGAATGGGAATGGGAATGGGAATGGCACAGCTGTGGGGACAGGAGCTCACGGGGATGGGAATGGACAGCAGCCACCAGGGACAGGAGTGCAATGGCAGCGGGGTGGGAATGGGAACAGTGGGAATGGGAATGGGAACAGTGGGAATGGGAATGGTGGGAATGAGAGCAGGGGGGATAATGGGAATGGTGGGAATGTAGCAGGGGGGAATGGGAATGGGAACAGTGGGAATGGGAGCAGGATGGGAGGGGACAGTGGCACAGCAGCAATGAGGATGGGAACACCAACGTGCTCCTGCAGCACCCAAAACATCCAGAGATAAAAATCTCCATCCTTAAAAATTCCTGCCCCAATCTGTGGTGCATCCCCAGAACGTGCCGGGGGAAATCCGCTCCGTCACAGTGCCTGGGTGGATCCGGATGGATCTGGATGGATCCGGGTGGATCCAGATGGATCCCGGCTGGGGGACCACACACGTGCTGAGCACAGCTGCTCTTGGTCTCCTCTCAAAACATGAGCAAAATTCCTGGAATCAGCAGATCTTGGAACTGGGATTCAAGGAAATGCCTGCCCAGGGATGTTTCGCAATAGTCTCACGACTCGCCAGACCTGGAACTGCGCCTTCAGTGAATGAAAAACCCTCCCAGTGCCAATTCCAGCCGCTCCTCCAAAGGGAGCTCAGCAGGAAATCCAGCTGGAAACACCAAAAGTGTCCAGGAAAAACAGGGATCTGCGAGCTCTGTTTCTGCCTTCCAGCTTTTAAATCTCATCCCAATCCCTCTGAAGGTTGTTTTTCTTTTTCCAGTTGATTTGAATCTCCTCTTCCAAAAAACGCCCAAATTTTTCAAACAAGATCCCAGCAGCGCCACCCTCCGGGATCACGATCCGGCGTTTCACGCCATCCATGAATTTCAGCTTGTTTGATGAGACAAAACGCATTCCAAGGGGAAAAGGGGAGGAATTGGCTGGAGAAGCAGGATTTAGGTTTTTATCCCTCAGCAATCAGTTGGAATTTCCCATGGATGGATCATCCCAGGTGGTCAAAGATTCATCCCATCCTTGGCCAACCTCCCAAAGGAGCTGAGACACCGGGAGCCGACCATCCCAGGAAAACACCTCCAGCTGCCTGATTTTCCAGACTCTGCAGCCATGGAAATCCCATGGAAAACCCACAGGGATCCCCCAGGCTGAAATCCCACGGCAGCTCCACCACACAGATCCCAAAAATCACCCCCAGACTCCCTGGACGCTGTGAGGAGGCGGAGTGGGAATGCCAGGAGCGAGGTGGGAACCCAGGGAACTCCCTGGGATGTCCATGGATATTCCAAGAATGGCATGGACACCTCAAGGATGGCATGGACACCTCGGGGATGGCATGGATGGTATGGACACCTCAGGGATGGCATGGACACCTCGGGGATGACATGGACACCTCGGGGATGACATGGACACCCCAAGGATGGCATGGACACCTCGGGGATGGCATGGACACCTCAGGGATGGCGTGGACACCCCAGGGATGGCGTGGACACCTCGGGGATCGCATGGACACCCCGGGGATGGAATGGACACCCCAAAGATGGCATGGACACCTCGGGGATGACATGGACACCCCAGGGATGGCATGGGCACCCCAGGGATGGCATGGGCACCCGAACGATGGCGTGGACAGCCCAGGGCTGGCATGGACACCCTGGCAAGCAGCCTGGGAATCTCAAGTGAGGGCTTGGGTACCCCAGGGAGCAGAGCCAGCATCCAGGGAATCAGAGAAAGCATCTTAGGGACCGGACAAACACCTGAAGGATGGCACTGCCACCCCAGGGACACCCCGAGCGGAAGTTTGGGTACCCCAGGAAGGGTAGCGGGGATCCCAGGGAGCAGAGCAGACATCCTGGGGATCAGCACCGGCATCCCGGGAAGCGGAGCGAGCACCTTCGGAAGCGGATCAAACACCTTAGGGATGCCGTGGGCACCTCAGGGTTAACGTGGGCACCCCAAGTGGGGGCTCAGGTTCTCCAGGGAATGGCGTGACTCCTCCAGGAAGCAGAACGGATTCCTCAGGAAGCAGAACGGGCATCCCAAGGAGCGGCGCGGGCAATCTGGGGATAGCGCGGGCATCCCGGGAATCGGTGCGAGCATCTCCGGGACAGGAGCGAACAGCTTAGGGATGGCATTGACACCCCAGGGATAGCGTGAACTCCGTGGGAGCTTGGGAAGCCCAGGGAGTGGCGTGGTTCCCGGCGTGGTTCCCGGCGTGATTCCCGGCGTGATTCCCGGCGGAAGTCCAGCAGGCTCACGTGGGAACGGAGCGGGAATTCCGGGGAGTAGCGCGGGCATCCCGGGAAAACGGAGCTCGCACCTCCGGGACGGAGCGGACACCCCGGGGAAGGTTTAGGGACCCAGGAAAGGGCGCGGGCACCCCGGGGAAGGTGGGGAGATGCCGGGGAAGGCTCGGACAAGCCGGCGGCGAGCCGGGGAGCCCGGGGCAGCTCCGCTTACCGGTGTCGGCGGCGGCGCGGAGCAGCAGCAGAGCGGCCGTAGCGCAGAGCAGCGGCAGCAGCGGCCGTGCCATGGCACCGGCCCGGGGACAGCTCCGGGCTCTCCTGCGGGAGATCCGTGACCCTTCCCTGCCGCCGCTGTCGCGGTTCCCGAGAGGTTTCGCTTTCGCTTTTCGGGACCGGGAGGGACGCACCGCCCTGCCGGGATGGGGAGCCAGGGACGGGGAGGGAATGCTGAGAGAGCTGGGGTTGTTTATCCTGGAGAAAAGGAGACTCGGAGGTGACCTTGGCACTCTCTGAACTCCCTGGAAGGACCTGGGGTCAGCTGGGGTCAGGCTCTTTCTCCAGAAAACAGCAAGAGGACACAGCCTCAAACTACGCCAAGGGAAATACAGGCTGGGTTTAGGAAATTAGGAAGAAGATTTTTACAGGAAGAATGATAAAATAGTTGAGTTTTCTGTCAGGAGGTGGTGGAGTCACCACCCCTGGATGTGTTTAAAAAAGCCTGGATGTGGCACTGGGTGCCGTGGTTTGGTTGAGGGGTTGGGTTGGACTCGATCTTGGAGGTCTTTTCCAACCCTGTGATTCTGTTGAATTCTGTTGAATTCTGTTGAAGGAGGGGTCCGGGAGGGGCGAGTGGGGGCAGCAATGCCGGGGAGAATTCGGTGTCCAGGGGGAATTCGATGCCCGGGGGGAAATTCGATGCCCGGGGGGAAATTCGATGCCCGGGGGGAAATTCGGTGTCCGAGGGAGAATTCGGTACCTGGGGGGGAATTCGGTGCTTGGGGGGAAATTCGGTGTCCAGGGGGAATTCGGTGTCCAGAGGAATTCGATGCCCGGGGGGAAATTTGGTGCCCAGGGGAAATTCGGTGTCCAGGGGAAATTCGATGTCCGGGGGAATTCGGTACCTGGAGGGGAATTCGGTGTCCGGGGGAAATTCTGTGTCCGGGAACACAATACCCGGAAAGAGGTGAAATACAGGGGGGTGAGGGGCATTCATTGTCCAGGTGGGATGGAGAGATTCCCGGGAGGATGAACCAGCCCGGGAATGGAATAGCGGGAGGGGTGGGGCTGCAGTCCCGGGATGCAGCAGCTGAAGGGATGGAATAACCCGGGAATGGGAAACTGAGGGAGCGGAATTCGGGACCTAAAGAGGGACGCGATTCCCGGCGAATGGTGGGGAGGGGATGCAACATCCACGGGATGTGAGATCCCTGAGGGGGACAGGATGAAACGTTTGGATTCGTGATCCAGGGGGTGAAGTGTCAGGGGTGGGAGAGAGGGGATGGGATAACCCTGGAGGAAGCAGCACCTGGGGGGGGATGCGGCATCGGGGTCACCTCACCAGGAGGGTCTGGTACCCCTGGGATGGAACAGCTGGAGAAGGGATGGAATATCTTGGGAAGGGATGGGATATCTTGGGAAGGGATGGAACAGCTGGAGAAGGGATGGAACAGCTGGGGAAGGGATGGAACAGCTGGGGAAGGGATGGAATATCTTGGGAAGGGATGGAATATCTTGGGAAGGGATGGAACAGCTGGAGAAGGGATGGAACAACTTGGGAAGGGATGGAACAGCTGGAGAAGGGATGGGATATTTTGGGAATGAATGCAGTATTTTGGGAAGGAATACATATTTTGGGAAGGAATGCATTATTTTGGGAAGGGATGGAATATCTTGGGATGGGATGCAATAATTGGGAAGAGATGCAATCCCATCACAAGATGAGGCAGCGCTCCCTCATTCCAAGGGAATCGCTGTGTCCTGGGGGGATGCAGCTCCTCCCTCCCATGCCTGGCCATGGATCCGGTGGAATTCCATGTCCTTGGGATCAGAATCCCAGCACTGGAACATGCACACAAATCTCAAAACTGGAAAACAAGCTGTGATCCAGCCCTGGAAGTTCTGCAGAGCTCCTGTGGTCGGGCTCCATCCCGCAGCATTCCCGGGATCCCACAGATCCTGCACACAGCAAATCCTCCCCACCTCGGCTCCTTGGATGAAAATGTGGGAGTTCTGCTCCAACTTTGGGCTATCCCAGATTCCCTGGGATGGGCTGGGATACCACTGGGATGAGAGTTGGATGAAAATGTGGGAGTTCTGCTCCAGCTTTGGGCTCTCCCAGATTCCCTGGGATGGGCTGGGATCCCACTGGATGCGAGTGGTGAAAAACAATCAGCAGGGCAAGGCTCACAGCACTTGGTGCCAGAGCTGAGCACAATAATCCCGGGTTTTAGTAAAGAAAATTTGATCTGGGAAGACTTTGCCTTTCTTCTCAAGAATTCTTAAAAAAGATGTAAAAAATCTGATTCCATCCTAAATTTCCAGGTGAGGATTTTGGTGCTGCTGATGCAAACGAGCTCTGCAGCTGCTGAACTTCCAGAAGATCAGCACAACCGGTGCTGAGGAATCCAGACTTTTCCATGCTTGGACTGTGAGGGTGTGAAAACCTCCTGAGAGCTCAAATAATCTTTGCTTATTTAATTATTGCACAGAGATGAAATGATTTGAAGGATTGAGACATCTGAGGCTCTGCCACGGGGAACCTGGAGTGAGGAAAGCTGCTCTGACCCTGTGGGTGTGGGGTGGAGCTGGGTTCATTCCCAGCTCAGGAATTGTGAATTCCAGAGCAGCTCCGGGATGGTCAGACAGGGAATTTTTCCTGACAGGATGATTTGTGGGATCATGCCTCCCTCGGGGCAGGGAGAATTCCAAGGGCTGGACATCTGGATTTCCAAAGGAATTCACCACCCCACATCTGAGTTCATATTTCAGGGCTTTGAACATCTAAGGAGCAATTTTGGGGTTGGGTTGACACCACTGTCATTGATGGGATTGGCAAAAGCAGGTTTTGATATAAATTTCATGGAATTATGAAAGGTTTTGGGTGGGAAGGGATCTTAAAATCATCTTTTTCCATCCCTCTGCACTGAGCAGGGACATCTTCCACCATCTCAGGGTGCTCCAAGCCCAACCAACCTTTCCTTGGACACTTCCAGGGATCCAGGGGCTACTCTGGGAATTCCAGCCCAGCTGGGAATTCCTTCCCCAGATCCCATCCATCCAGGACCAGGCTTTGTCTTCCAGGTGCTCACCTGGAGAAGGGAAGGATCCAGGGACAGCTTCCAGAACATTCCAGGAGATAAAGGGGATCCAAGAGAGCTGGAATTTGGGAAAGGCCTGGAGGGGCAGGAGCCAGGGAATGGCTCCAGATTGGAAAAGGGGAATTTGGGGTGGGATTTTGGGAATTCCCAGAGCAGCTGTGGCTGCCCCTGGAACCCGGGAATGGCCAAGGAAGGGTTGGAGCAGCCTGGGATGGTGGGATTGGAATGGGATGGGATTGAAGGTCCCTGGATCCCATCCCAAAGCATTCCGGGATTTGGGAGGCTCTGAATCCATGCCGAGGGATTTTTCTGGGAAATGGGGATGGGAAAGAGAGGGAAAGGGAAGGGAGAGCCTTGGTGGCTTCCTGAGATTGCGGAGAGCTGGAATTTGGGAAAGGCCTGGAGGGGCAGGAGCCAGGGAATGTGTGGAATCCCAGAGGGCAGGGATGGATGGGATTTGGGAAGGAATTTCTGGCTGGGCTGGAATTCCCAGAGCAGCCTCTGGATCCCTGGAATGTCCAAGGCCAGGCTGGAGCAGCCTGGGATGGTGGGAGGTGCCCATGGGACTGGGTGATCTCTGAGATCCTTTCCAAGTCATTCTGTAATTCCATGATTTCCCGTAAATCATCAGGAAGTTTCTACCCTGGCCACGACCCAAACTGGGAATTACTGGAGGGTTTTGTTTTTTTTCAAAGCTCTACTAACAATGGTAATTTTCCACTTGGGCTGATTCCAAGCAGTGAAATTCCAAGGCCTTCAGGGAATAAGGGATCATCCTTTGTTCCTCACCTTGCTTAGGAAACCGGGAGTCTTGGTATGGAAAATTTCTCCCAATTTTTCCACGCTCAGATTCCTTCCCCATCCAGGTGGGAATTCCTGAGCCTCCAGAGCAGCTCCAAGGAAGGAGAATCTGGGGGGATGCACCACCTCAAGTGGTTGAGGAATTCCAGGTTTTTCCTGGGATGTAGCTCATGGAAGGGTTGTGTTGGTGGCTGTGACTCTTGAACTGGAGATTTTTGGGTAGGAAAAGCTGGGTTTTAAGTCAGGATTAAAGATCAATCCAGTGTCCAAAAGGAGACAAACTCCTTGTTTCAAGGCATCAGGGATGAGGATGGACAAAAATATTCCTTTGAATTCATTTTCCAGCAAACAGAAATCAAAACTCTGCCTCGAGCAGCAGAATGATCCAAAGTCCCAGTAATGAACCAGATTTTATTTTCCTTTGAGGATTTAATCAGGAATTACTTCATTTCTTATCAGTTCTCCCAGGTTCCTGCACCGAGTACATAAAACCAGCCTGGGATGTGAGTTGGTCTTCCTGGGATTATTTGGGAATGTGGGAAAATAGTTCCAAGATTTGTAAAGCTCAGGTTGGCAGTCTGGGATGATTTCCCATCAAGTTAATTGCTTTCATTTTAATTAGTTACTATTAATCCGGCAAGAAGCAGTTGCTGGGCCTGGATTCTGTCCCAAAGCAGCGCTGCCAATCGCGCTTGGAGACACTTGGAAAAGTCAAAACGTTGCCCTGGAAATTAAAAGGGATGGAGAAAGGAAAAAATTCCAGTGGTAACATTTTGTGTTGTGGGAATTATGAAAATTTGGAGGAGGAGGAGGAAAAAGAAGAGGAGAAGGAGAAGGAGAAGGAGAAGGAGGAGAAGGAGAAGGAGAAGGAGAAGGAGAAGGAGAAGGAGAAGGAGAAGGAGAAGGAGAAGGAGAAGGAGAAGGAGAAGGAGAAGGAGAAGGAGAAGGAGAAGGAGAAGGAGAAGAAGGAGGAGGAGGAGAAGGATGAGGAGGAGGGGAAGGAGGAGAAGGATGAGGAGGAGGGGAAGGAGGAGAAGGAGGAGGAGGTTGCAGTCAAGGTCATTCTCTCATAAAAGCTGAAGTTGCTGCCGTTTTACAAGTGAAAATTCCCTATTTTGGCTGGAATTTGGCAGAGTTGGTAAAAATGAGGGGATTTTGCTGCCAAACAGAACATCCTGGCTGTGGGAACCAGCATTCACAGCCTCAGGCTGGAGAGATTCCAGCCTTTCCAGAGCTTTCCAAGGGAAACATCTTCACGCTGGAGTGTTGGAAGTGAGATCTTCCAGCCGGAGGAGCAGCAGGGTGGGCTCAGCTCAGCTCAGGGGATCTCCAGCGGATTTTTTTTGGAACTTCAGCTCCTTTTCCGTGGGAGAGGAAAGCACCCGTGAAGCCACCCGGGGTTTTTCAGCCACGGGGTTGCTTTAGGTCTCAGCTTGTGATTTGGGAACTTTCAGTTCTCAGATGTGAGGCTGATTTTGAGAATCAGCCTTTTCCCAAAGAGAATGAGCAGATTTTGGTCACAATTCAATGATTCAAGGAAAGAACTGACAAAACACAAAACGTGAAAATTCCAGCTGGAGGCTTGGCCACATCCACTTTTCCCTGCAAATAACATTCCCAGAGGGTTTTTGCTGAAGCCAGATGAATTCTGCTCACACCTTTTTGTATTTCCCGAGGGTGAGAAAGAAGAGGGAAGATTTGTATGGAACTTTCCACCCTCATTTTTCTGGGAATGAATAAATATCCATCACTTGGGGTTTGTTTATTTTTCCCTTCTAAAAACAAATTCCAGCCAGGTGGGGAAACCCCTTCCCTTTTTAAATTTTATCTTTAAAGTTGATAACTGTCAGATTCTGCTTGGCTCTGCTGTCAACAGCTGAATTATATGATGGGTTGGGAATCCTGAATATAAACCTGGGAAAAATGGTAAAAACCACAAATATTCCCCTTGGAATTGTTGCTGTGGTGTTGTCCCTGACCTCTACCAGCACTTGAAGGAAGTAATGTCAAAGAGGAAGAAAAACTGCTGGAAAAACTTGTTTGGGATTTGTTTTGGAGCTGTTCCTTTGCCTGCAGGCACCTGAGATTATAAAAGCTCAAGTTTTAGGTGGAAAAGGCAGAGCTGGGAACGTGACAGGAACAGTTTTTAACCTCTGGAAGTGAGAGGAAGAGTGGGAAGCATCCACAGCCTGTTCCTGTGGGATGGTTGTTGTTCCCTCTTCATCCTGGGAGGATAAATCCTGGGAATAAACATCCTGATGGTGCTGCAGAGCTTCTGAAGGCTCCTGGGGGTTGGGGAGGTGCTAAAAAGAGATTTGAGCTCCAAAATTGGGGTTTTTTAGGTGGTTCTGTCTCCACCGCGTTTTTGGGGGTGTAGTAGGATGTGAGTAAGGATGGGGTAACCTCAGTGGAGAGAGGAGTTTATTAATAAATGAATAATTTTTTATTAAAAGCTGTTCAGCAAAGGGGACAGCACAACCTCACCTTCAGGGTGGGACAACTTCAGCCACGGGAGACGAGGAGGAAATCAGAATTCCAGGAGAAACTGCAGCTCCTGAGCAGGTCCAGAGATAAAAAGTTACACCCAGGGTTTATTAAAATGGTCTCATGTAATATTATATAATGTAATGTAATATATAAGACATATAACATGTAATATATAACATATTTAATGTATATATGCATTAAAATAATTTATAATATATTGTACAGTATATTAAATATATAATATTATAAATTATATAGAATATGATATATAATTATTATCTTTATATATTATATATAAATGTATAAAAGAATATAATAAAATATAATATAACAATTATAATTGTAATTTATAATAATATATGAATATATAAACCAATATATAATATAATTATAATATATTATAATATATAAATTATCTGTAAATAGAATAATTATAGTAAATATAATATTACATTATAAATTATGTTATGTACATAATGGTATATAATTTATATTATATATTATAATATAGAATATTATAATTATTATCATACTTATAATTATATATAATAATTATATAATATATAATATATTATATATTCCATAATATATAATATAATAATTATTCTAATGTAATAATTATATATTATATATTATAATTCTATTATAATAATTATAATAATTATATACAATATATTATAATAATATAATATATAAATAATATATACACATTATAATATATAAATTATCTATAAACAGAATAATTATAGTAAATATATTTTATTATAACTTATATTATATATATAATGATATATAATTTATATATGTGTTATACATTGTTTATAACATATTTAATACATAATACCATGTAATAAAATATCATTTATGATCTATGAAATAATATGATAAACATAACATTATGTAAAATATTGTGATATATCATACATAGATATAATATAATAGAATAGAATAGAATAGAATAGAATAGAATATATCATATAACATGACATATAACATATAATATACAAAATACAATATATAATATATATATAACATAATATTTTAAATATATAATATATACACATAATATAATAATACCTTAGTATATATAATATGTTATATATTAAGTGTATATAATATGTAATATGTAATGCATTATATTGCAAAATATGTACAATAATAATATCTAAAATAATATCTATTTATATTATATATATAAAATATAAATAATATATATAGAGAATATGTATTATATTTACATTTATATATTTACATTATTTTATATTTATATATATAAAATATATAAAAATGTATATTTATATATATTTTATATATTATGTAAAATATATTTAGTATATATTATATAACACATACACAATATTATATATAATATATTTCAGATAACAGATAATACATATTGGATTATAGATATGAGATATCAGATATCCCATTTTATTTTAGGAAATAAACCCATCCTGTACCTCAGAAATTCATTTGTTGGTGGTGTTTGGGAAGTAAAACAAAATCCTTTCCTTACAACCCTCTGCTCCAAGAAAAAAACACCGGAATTTTTTCCCCCAGAAAACACAAATCCACAATTCCATAGAAACAAGGGTGAGATCAGGGAATTCAGACAAATCAATTCAAATTTTCCTTGGGGAAAAAAAAAAATCAGTTTTCTCTGAATTTCTCTGTCACTCGGATTTGGAATCCAGCAAAGAATTCCCACTTGGAAAAAACAAGGGAAAAGCAGATTTTAGATGGAAATTCCTAAATCCCATTCCATAAAATCATATCTGAGATCCTTACAGCGCTGCCAATCTTTTATTCCTGTTCCCAAATGGAATGGGAAATGATTCTCTGGGGGCTCCAAAAATGCTGAAAGAAATGGGAAAGGGAAAATAAAAACTTGAAATAATCGTGTTAATATTTTTTTAGGTTGATATTTAATTAATTTATTTAATAAATAAATTTAATTAAATTTATTTATTTATTTAATCAAGTAATTTATTAATAAATTACTTTAAAATTTATTGTTTATTTATTATTTATTTATTATAAACTTAATACATTTATTTTTTTGTTTATTTAATAAATAAATTTATTTAGGGTAATGTTTTTAGGTTGATATTTTATTTATTTAATAAACTTATTTATTTAGGTTATTCTTTTTAGGTTGATAATTTCATTATTTAATAACTTTATTTATTTAGGTTACTGTTTTAAGTTTGATATTTTATTTATTTAATACATAAATAGATTAATTTTTTAATGTTTATATTTTTGGCTTGATATTTTATTTATTTAATAAATATATTTATTCATTTAGGTTAATATTTTAGGTTGCTATTTTATTTATTTAATTATTTAATAAATTAATCAATTTAGGTTAAAGTTTTTAGGTTGGTATTTTATTTATTTAATAAATTGATTTATTTAGGATTTTAGATTTAATAGATTTATTTATTTCTGTTTATATTTTTAGCTTGATATTTTATTTATTTAATACTTTTATTTATTTGTGTTAATATTTTTAGGTTGATAATTAGTTTACTTAATAACTTTATTTATTTATTTAGGTTCATTTTTTTGGTTGATATTTTTTTTATTTAATAAATTTATTTATTTAGGTTAATATTTTAGGTTGATATTTTATTTATTTATTTAGGTTAATATTTTATTTATTTAATAAATTTATTTATTTAGGTTAATATTTTTTAGGGTTTTTATTTTTTAAGCTTTTTTAACTTGATTTTTTTTTCCCTCAGTTCGAGGGGAAGAGGCACTGAATGAACCCATTCATGACTCCAGTTATTTCACTAGAAACCAATGAGTTTATCTTAATTTATTTCCTAGGAGATTATTCAGGAAAAAAGTAATTTTTTCAGGAATTGGATGAGTTCCCACTCAAACAGGATGTGCCAGGAAAAATCACTCTGCTCTTGATATCCTGCCCAAAATTACTGTCTGGGCTGTTAAAACTGGCTCAGCAGCACAGGAAGGAACCAGGATTAAGTTTAAAAATTAAACTAAAAACTAAATTAATTAAAAAATTGTGATTTACCCCAGGAGTTTTTGTAACTCCCCAGATTGTGGATTAGAAGCAGGAGAAGTGAGGAAAATGGGATGGAATTAAGCAGTTTTTCATCATCAGATTCCAAAAATACCATGAAAAATCCAACTTTGGATAGAAAATTCAGATTATACCTTCGTGCTCCAGCCTCCTCAAGGTCACTGCTGCTGGATTTAGCAGGATACAGGCTTGGATCCTGTTTTTATCCTATGGAATTGCCTGTTTTCCTTCACATAAAAGCATGAAATGATTTTCCTTGCAGGATGAGGAGGAGAATTCCAGCATTCCCAACCTGCTCAGTGAAGGCAGCACCGGCTCCTCCAAGGGCAGAGCTGCTCCTATGGATTTGAATTCCAGTTTATTCCATTCAGAATCAGCAACATCTCTCTCAATCCCAATTCCTCATATTTTAGGGAAAATTTATTCAGTCACATTCCCAGCACTGCTGTTATAAGTGCTTATTATATTATTGGCTTTTCACAAATATTAAAATCAATGTTATATGTATAAGGTTAGAAAACTTTTGTTGTATTAATATAGTTTGTTATTGATGAAACTTAAAAATAGTGGTAAAATACACATATATCTTAGGGTATAACACGATATTAAAGCACAATTTTATATAATTTTATAATGTTTATATAACCCAGAGACTGAAAAGACAGTCAGAGACCCCCCTGCATTCTTGAAATTATCTTTTCCTCCAAGATCTCCAAGAGAAGGATTTATTTCACCCGTTATCAGAGGATCTAAAACCCTGTGGCACCAAGAAGATTGATCTATTGGGAAGGGGGAAAGGTAAAAACTAAACAAAGGAACATCAAAAAAACTTAAAAAGAATGTCTGAATATGTATGAGAATTTATGGATATGTAATAAGGTTCTGTTTTTAAGGGACAATCCTTTGTTAGTGAGGTGAATGCAGACACATCCAGCCGTGTCTGTATATTTTACTTTATTTTTATCTCCTAATTGTCTTTCTATTAAACTTTTAAAATCCTAAAAAAAAAATTATGTGAACCTCATTTTTTCACACTGCCAAGACCACATCCACAAGGTGTTAAATCCCTCTGGGAATGGGGACTCCTGCATAAATCTTTCCAGGAATTTTCCCAATATCCAACCTAAACCTTGCCTGGCATAACTTGAGGCTTTTTTTTTTTTTGCCAAGGTGCTCTAATGGTTGGTGTGTTATGAGAATTATGTGTGAGTTACACACGATTTACCTGAGAATTACGAGGGAATTATTTGGGATTTACACGAGAGTTTCTTGAGAGATTAATGGAAATCCTTTTATTTTTTGCAACTGGGCTCAATGCTTGGTTTGCCATAGAGTTAAACTCTGTTAACTTGTTAACATTTGAGTTACATGGGAGTTCATTTAGTATTTTACCAAGGAGCTCAGTGGTTGGTCTGTAAATGTGAGTTACATAAGAGTTACATTTGAGTTACTCGTGACTTACCCTGGCCTTTGCCAAAGACCCCAGAGGGTTGGATTGTCACACCAATTCCATGTGAATTCCACGTAAATTCCATGTGAACTCCATACGAGTTCCCGCTTCTTCGCCAGAAGCTCAAATTGTTTATTAATCTATTTATTTATCTCTCTGTCTCTCACCGGAGCCTCACTCCCCTCACAAAATAATGACGCGGCTCCTTTAAGATGCGCCCTCATTATGGCCCCGCCTCTTCAGCGCCTGGTGGGGGCGTGGCTTGGCGAGGCGGAAGGCGCCGGGATTGATTGACAGAGCCGCTGCCCAATCAGATGGCAGAGAGCGGGACGGGGGGTGGGGCTTCCGGCGGGGCGGCTGAGGCGGCGGCGCTCTGAGGGAGCGGGAGCGGGGCCGCCATGATCAAGAAGTTCGATAAAAAGGACGAGGAGTCCGGTACGGGGGGG